AAGATTTTGAAAAGATATCGCACAAATTTTGAGAGTTAGAGCACCATTTATTTTTGTATAGGAAAAACATATGATACCAACATAACTATTTAGAACATTCATGGGAGTCAGGAACACTATCTCATTGAAGTATGCTTTCAAAATAACCTTGCTTCAATTAGGACTTTTGAAGGTTGTAACGTGGCCTGGTTCATGGTTTTTTTAGAAAAAAGATTTTAAGGCTCAAAATATTTGGTGCCCACCCATTCTTCATGATGTTCTCCAACCCTATGTTCAGTTAATTCAAACATGAGTGTTCATCTCTCAAAAGGATTTTGTGACGGTCGAGGAAACGACGAGGCTTTCGGAGTAGAAACCACCCTAATGTCTTCGTGTTTGTAGTCACCAATTTGTTCTTTGCTGAGAACTTTTCTTTGCAGTCCTTTTCTTTGCAATTTTTATTTTCCCTAATCTTTGCCTGAACTAATTTTTTGAATTGATAGTCCAGCGGGATGCCTTAATTTTTGCCTAAGTCGTAAGTTTTCATGTTTTTGACTTAGCAGGCTTTTTTTTTCTTGATTTTTGACTTTTTGAACAAAATGTGTGCCATTAGCTTGTCTTTGCTTGTTGATTGTGATTTCCTCGTTTCTTGATGAATGAGGGATAACATTGTGGTTCCACATCCTCTAGATTCGTTATACATGAAGGATAGCCCTCGTAGTCTCTCTTCAAAAAACATCTTCCTTATGAATTTTGAACACTCAGTCAGATTAACTAAAAACTACCCCGCCCCAGGTTAAAATTCAAGGTTTTTTCGTATAGAAAAGAAACTTCTGCTTCAAAGGCTCAAAAGGGGTTAGCAAGGGATTATCTTCCTTATATCTCTGGTGTTTAGGGATTTGAAACAATGCCTGTACATCATCAGCAAGATTTTATCCAAAAGCAAACAACCAGAGATTTTGTGTTCTTTAGATCATCATCCTCCCCTCAATCTCTGCCTAGGCAAGAGAATGAGCAACAATTTGGTATCATAGTGCAAAAGCAATTTAAAATTTGAAAACAAATATGAGTGAAACGAATGAATTTCTTCAAGACAAACATACTCATTGTATTAAGATAATCATTCAGATGCAAACAAGTTCTTACATGCAAACAATGTTTTGATAAACAAGAAAAATTACAAAAAGCATAAATAAGTTAATAATCTGGGAAAGCTTTCCATCTAGACTTGAATTACCGAAAACATCCTTCAAAAATCAAAGTCACTATCAATCGTGTTTACTCTTCGGCGCATGCTTGATTTGAACTTCAAAGCCAACGTCCTTGAATGACAAGATACCACTTCTGACCAACTTCTGAACTTCAATCTTCAAAGCAAAGCAACCCTCCAAGTCATGCCCAGGAGCACCTTGATGAAAGGTACAAGCCAAATCAGTTTTGTAGTACCAATGTATCTTCTCAGGAACCTTCGGTGGAGGTCGGGTCTGAACCAAATTCCTCTGCATCAGGATAGGGAACAACTCTGTATAGGTAATTGGAATTGGATCAAACTGGGTTTTCCTCTGATTAGGAACTTGCTGATTCTGGTGATGAATAGGAGAAACGTGATGATTCTGACGATGATTATTTCTTCCTCTGGTTCTCTTCTTGGAAAAGTTATTATCAAACTTCTTCACACCATTAGCTGAACTACCATCTTCATATGAACATCCCTTCCCAACATCTTCTTCTAGACGCACTCCCACATTCACCTTGTCAAGAAAGTCATTAGGTGCATTAACCATCACCTTCTCATGAGAGAATGATTTTAGAGTTTCAGTGAAGACTTTTATCATCACTTCCTCCCTCCTAGAAGGATTGACTTGGGCGGCAACCAGAATTTCAACCAAACCAGTTAAGTGCTCCATACTAGCTTTCAAAATAGTCATCTCTCTACGGAGTTCAGAAACCTCTTGCTTGATATTCTCCATTGTTCTCTTAGCGCGAATGTTGTACTGGTGAGACCAAAGAAAAAATAAGACTCGAAAAAGACCTTTGAAAGTGAAACAAAAAATGTAGAATGATGTATGATATGCAAAAGAGAGTTTTTATTTGATTTTCAAGGAACTCAAGATATTAAGTTGTAAACATCAAAGTATGAAGATAGAAGATGAATTTTAAATTGGCTCCAAACATTGATCAAGTTATCATCAAGATCAATCATCCATTTTGGTGGATTAGGGTTTTCGCCCTATCAACACCCAAGATCCATTGAGCTTGACGAAACTTGTGATGTTTACAAAGAAAGACCTCCAAATTCCTTCAAAGTCAAGTGAAAAGGGTTTTATGGTTGCATGAATGCATGGCTATGCAACAACCACAAGCAAGGTCACAAATAAAGTCGAAAGGTTCAACGTCACGAGCATGGAGTCAAGGTAAGGAACACCCCCAAGGTATGTACTAACGGTTTAATCACACCTGTAGAACAAGGTTCTAAGAGTTCCCGGAGTCTACATTCCTCCTTCGGATATTACCAACGTCTTGATTACTCAATAATCAGCAATATTCTCAAGAGAAACTCATCCGAGCGTAGCATCGCGTAACAATTACTTCCGGATTACTCCGTTATAATCTCCGCGCTACACCTAAAAGGCCAAGATGGGTTAGGGTTCTACGGTTCCCAGCTTCTCTGGCTCCCAGGTCGAAAATAATAATGTCTTCCCGATTACTCGGTAAAAAAATATTACGTTCAAAAGGGCCTTCCACTGAGTGGGGGATCTCATGCCTCCTTCTTCGGGATTAATCCCTCAAAGTTAACATGACTATACCGTCCGTCCTATTCGTAAGTGTAACTTAGTCCGGGTATAGGACTTGTCCTTTGTAAATATTATCAACACCCAAATAATCATAATATATACATATAATCAAACAATCAAATAATGATAAAACAGATAAAACAAATTAGGCTTAACCCACTTAGGGATGGACCAGCAAGAGGTCAATCTGTCCCCAGCAGAGTCGCCAATTCTGTAGCGGTGAAAATCGGAGATCAAGCTATTAATTAACTTGACTCACAAAAGCAAGAGTCGCCACCGCGCTTTATTATTTCCAAGGGAAAAAGGGAAAAGAGCGAAATAAAACCCTAAAATACGCAATGTAAAATAATACTTAAAAGTAATAAAAATACAATGTATTTTGAAAAGAGGTCGATGGTTCGGGGGTTGGTTATACAATGGGAAGGTGTTAGCACCCAATGTATCTATAGTATTCTATAGGAACCTTTTGAAATATCTGTTTATTAAAATGTTTGTTTGATTAAAAATAAATTGTTTTGGCCGAAAATGGGTATGGACGAGTCTTTGAAGATACGAAGACCTAATGTCGAAGTTTTGACTTAAAAGGTGTGAGTTTTTTTGAAGAAATTGGATATTTGGGAAAATTATCCTATGTTTTTAATGAATGGGGGTATTCGCTCGATCGTGTAAGATATATTTGATGACATGAAGTCAACAAATTTAATTCTTTCTCTTGGAGTTGATCATAAGCAAGTAGGTCTAGTAATCAAGCAAGAATCATATATAAGTAATTAAAAATCCAAAAGAAACAAACAAGGAGAATAGTGACAAGATAAACTATAAGAAACTAAATAAACGCACAAAGAAGAATCATGAATAAAAGGAAAAGGTAATTAGAGGGTTATCTAAACTAATTTTGAAATTCTAAGGTTACTAAGTAAACTAAACTTAAATTCTAAAGTTTCTAACTAAACTAAACAAGATTTTAAAGTTAATAACTAAAACTAAATTAAAATTATAAAATTACTAACTTAAAATTCTAAAGTTAATAAATTAAATCTAAAATAAATTAGAATTCTAAAATTACTAAGTTAGATCTAAACTAGATTAAAAATTTTAAAATTAGTAAATTAAATCTAAACTAAATAAAAATTCCAAGGTTGCTAACCTAAAACAAAAAAAGTTCCAAAGTTACTAAACTAAATCTAAATCAAATAAAATTCTAAAAGTTTACTAAGTCAAATCTAAATGAAATAAAATCTAATTCTAAAGTTTACTAAGTCAAATCTAAATGAAATAAAATCTAATTCTAAAGTTTACTAAGTCAAATCTAAATGAAATAAAATCCTAAAGTTACTAAAATAAAACTAAACAAAATAAAATTCTAAAGTTTACTAAGTCAAAACTAAAACAAATAAAATTCTAAAGTTACTAAATTATATCTAAATCGAATAAAAATTCTAGAGTTATTAAATTTAATCTAAACCAAAATGAAAATTTTAAAGTTACTAAATTAAATCTAAATCGAATAAAAATTCTAGAGTTATTAAATTAAATCTAAATCAAATGAAAATTTTAAAGTTACTAAATTAAATCTAAAACAAATAAAAATTCCAAAGTTACTAAACTAAATCTAAATCAAATAAAATTCTAAAACTATTAAAGCTCTAAAATTACTAAATTACATCTAAACTAATTTAAATATAAATTAAGTTAATTATAAAATTACTAAATTGTAAAAATTAAAATTCTAAAGTTGTTAAATTAAATCTAAACTAACTTAAATTTCTAAAGTTACTAAAATAAATCTAAGCTAACTAAAAATTACTAAAAAGTTCTAAACTAAAATATCATTCTAATATTACTACTTTAAATGTAGACAAGTTAATTATAAAAAAAAAGGGTGTGAAATAGAAAAATAGGATAGAAACAGTTAACTAGCGGATTGGGCCTAGTTTGGTGGGTGAAGGCCCCAAATAAAATTCTAATGAGAAGAAAAAAAAACCCTAGAAATTCTAAACAACAATGCAGCCGTTCCACACTTGTTTCTCTCACCAATTCCAAATAATTAGCATTTAAACCAAGTCAAATCCAATTAACTAATTAAATAAATAAAAGATTATTCTAAATCCTCTCTCTCTTCTCCTTCATCTTCCGCGAATTTGCATCGTAACATCATCTTCCTGCTTCGCAAATACGGAAGACCTCACCAGTTCTAAATCTTGAAATCGGAGCGGCGAAGTATTCTCAGAGCCCGTGAGTCGCGTTGCCAAGTGAGATCGAAGTGGACACATGGATCCGGTGAACGAATGTTTGAAATCGAGGCTGAAAGGAGATGAGGTCGTCCATGGCAGCGCTATGTTGCAAATCCGAATCGAAAAGAGGTTAAGGGAGGTGTCGTTTTAGAGGTTAAAGAAAGTTGTGTTAGAGGTCACTGTTTTTTATAATGTTTTAACTCTATGTATCTTTTGTGTGTCTCTTTGTTTCAGATATAAACGACTGAGGCATAACAAATGCAAGGCAACATACGGTAAGGCACTCCTGTATCATGGTTCCTTTGGATTCGCGGTTCTGACCGACAACTGAAAAGGCAGTTTACGATCTGCATCACTCGGGTTCACAAGTTTACATCCTTTCCATGTTCAATATTCGATACAACAATCACAACAGAAATCAAGTTTTCACGAATTCGCGATAGAAAGTAATAACAATAACTCATAAACTCCCAGGCTCATGATTTAGTTCAGATGCAAACAGACGATAGCAATAACAGAAAAGAAAATCAGCAAGCAAACAAGAACTGATGTACAGAAAAAAATTATGCAGAATGAGGGAAAAGATGATACTTATCGGGGTCTTCCCGATGGAGTTCCAAAAAAGAGGTAAGTTCAAACTCTTTCTTGCTTTCCCTTATGTATATAAATGCTGATTCCTTATGTTTTTCAAAGGTTGCTGCAGTAGGATATGAGTAAGGTTGTGGGAGAAGATTTTTGAGAAAAAGGTTTTTTGTTATGAGAAAAATTTTGTGAAATCTTCTGTCTTTTTTTTGTCTCAATTCTACTGCAGGTTGAGATGTATATCCCCTTTTTCTGTTTTCCAAGTCTAAGTTTATAGAGAGAACATAATGAAATTTTTGGGGGGAAAGGTTGGTGAAACATGAACAAATGCAGTGCCTTGTTTCATCTCCTTTCGATGTAGTTTTTTACTTTTCTATTTTTGTGAAAGTTTAGACTGTTTTTTTCTGGACTGTCATGACAGGTTTTTTGGCAAGTTGTGGTGCAGGTTTTACATCAAAGTAGTAGCAGGGTGCAACAGCATGACTTTACAGGTTTTGGGCAGCATTGCAACATACTTTGGAACAGTAGTGCAACATACTTTTGGCACTATTTGGGCAGAATTTCGGATCAAGAACAAGCCTTAGCTTTAGGTTTAGATTTTTTGTTTTCTTGTACAAACACTTGTGTAAAATTGTTGTGGTAACTTGTAATTTTGACTTAGAGCTTGATTGAATGTAATTTGGGAATTTAAACTTGTGCAACTTGCAAATGGATGAGACAAAGGTTATTTGGAACTTTGAAATTATATTTTTGAGATGTCTTGAGAATTGAATGAGTTTGAATAATGGATGATGAATAGTTAGAAAATGATTTGTTTGATATCCGGTTTTGTTATTGCTGCAAAAGTCATGAACTTGTCCTATGAATAATCGTGTGATGATATTGATGTGGTCCCACTCTGCAATTTTCTTTCTCTATTTTTGACAAAAACAAACAAATAATAACATAATAGTAACAATAATATAAGAAGAAGAAAAAAGTATTAGTAACAATAAATAAAATAAAATGATAAAATGCAACAATGATAATAACAATAATGAGAACAAAGATAAAAATAATTAGTAAGAATAAAAGATGAAATAATAAAATGCAATAAAGATACTAATAATAATAATAATAATAATGAGAAAAAGGGAAAATAGTTAGTAATATCTAAAAGAAATAGAAATAGATAAAAATAAGAAAATAATAATAATAAGACAGATTTTTGAACTAAAACAAATTCATTGGAAATATGATAGAAAATGCAAATGATAAACTATTTTAATTTTTTTTTTAAATAGAAATTAAAATGATGAATAAAAACAAGAAAGTATGCGAAATGATTGATTTTTCAAATTAACGACAAAATATGCACCAGTCGAAAAAAGTGAAGGGGCGAAAAATGGGGTGCGACAGTTGATGCTCTTGATTCAGACCTGTCTCTGCACATGACACAAAAGAAAACATGAACATACACCTTTGTATGCGATTAGAAATTAGTGATACATATGCTAAAAATGTTCAAAACACTTGACAATCTTCGCATAGCCAAAGCTCGAAGGTGAGACATTAAAACCAATCGTATTTCGTGACCTTGACTTATCTTAAAAAAAATGCAAAAAATAAAAATGGGATCTTAGGTCAAAAATTGGGGTACAATACCCGGTTACTTCTGATAGGACAGGTCTGAACCAACAAACTGAAAGAGGGTAATACCTCGACCCCATGCTGGCCTAAACTCTAAGGGCTTGTCTTGTGTGACTTGTGTGCCTTGTCATGTTTGCCTTTGTGAATATTTGTGGTGTGCTTTATCATAACATCATGCCATCATAACATTGCATGCATCCTACATAAGGACTGACCATTTCAAAGACAAGAGGGTTTCACCTTTGCTCTGTTTTGTAGGACATCATGATGCCTATGCGAAGGAATACTATCCGGTTCAACTTTGTTCACCCACCTGAGTTACTTGAAGAGTTGGTTGGCAGAATTCCAAATACCACTTCCTTCATCCAGAGGCATGGTTCTCTTCTCAGTTTAGTCACGGCAAAGTGGGACCAACAGCTGATGAGTGTCCTGACCCAGTTCTATGACCCTCTGTACCAGTGCTTCACCTTTCAAGATTTCCAGCTGGTCCCTACCCTGGAAGAGTTCTCTGATTTGCTTGGTATCCCTATCCTGGATCAGACTCCCTACACTGGATGGGAAAAGACTCTTAGGCTTGAGGAGGTTGCTGCAGCTCTTCCCTTGACCCACCAAGAAGTAATGGACAACTGGGTGACTAGAAGCAAAGTTAAGGGTTTCTTGGCCAAGTTTCTGATTGGTAAGGCTAACAATTTCTGGAATGACTTGGACTTTAGGGCATATGAAGACATCCTGACTCTCTTAATCTATGGTCTAGTCTTGTTTCCTAATCCTGATAACTTCATTAATGTCACTGCCATAAGGATCTTCATGTCTCGGAACCCCGTGCCCACTCTCTTGGGTGACATCCTGCAACAACTCTATGCTCGTACTGCCCGAAGAAGAGGAACCCTGTGGTGTTGCATCCCTTTGTTGGTGAGGTGGGTTATTTCTTACCTCCCTAAGTTCGTGCTGAAGAACAAAGAAGGAAGATGTTAGGCTCATAGGTTAATGTCTCTCACTGATAAGGACATCATTTGGACTTTCAGAGGTTTGGATGAGGTAGCTGTTATTGATCGTTGCGGAGAATATCCTAATGTTCCTTTGATTGGTACCCAAGGAGGAATTTCTTATAATCCATGTCTAGCTCTCCGTCAGTTTGGAAGAGCCAGAAGAGCAGGGCCTCATGAGATGTTGGTGCCTCACATCGGTTTTGAGTTTCAGGTGGATAGTGACGAGCTGCGTCGTAGGTTCATCAAGGCTTGGGACAGAATTCACAAAGCTGACCCACAAGAGTTGGGACCAAAGACTTCTCTACCTATGGAAGCCTACTACAAATGGGTCCGCATCCGTGCTCAGAAGTTAGGTATGCCATATGAAGCTGTCAGACCCATCATTCTTGAGTATCCTGATAAAGATGGGGTTCCCCCAACTGTTCTCCCTCCTCAGATATCTACTGATTATGAGAAATTAAAGAGGTCTTGGGCGCAACTGCGAGAAGAACGGGATTCTTATCGGGAAAAGTTTAACAAGCAGGAATTGAAGATCCAGAAGCTGACTAAGCAGTTGGAGAATGAGCGAGCTCTGAATGACTACATCCGTACTGAGAAGAGGAGACACTGGGATCAGTGATGAACTTTGGATGTTCTTTTACAATTTTTTATTTCCTTTTTCAGTATTTCCATTTTATGTAATGCCTAAGGGCAACCTGTTGAACAATTTGAATTTCAAAGTTGAATCTAATGAAGTGTGTTCCTTTTTGTTTACAAAGTTGATTCCCGATTGTCTTTGAAAACATAAATCATACGCATTCCATTCATCATGTGCATAGTAGATACTCTTCTTTTCAGGTTGCTTACTGTTCTTCGCTGTTTATTTCAGCATCATGAACCCTGAATCATCTACCGAGCAGTCTATCAAGGCCCTTCAGGCTCAGAACGCCCAATTTCAGGAGCTGATCATGGGTTTGGCTCAAGGTCAAGGGGAGCTGAAGGCTCTGCTGGTCAAGAAAAAGAAGAAGAGAACTGTTCTATTCAACACGGGCCGGAGGTTTGGTAACACACTGCAGAATGAGGAAGCTGGTTCTTCTGTAGGCAAAGGCAGTCCCCAGGGGGGAAGGGCTCCAAGTCCGGTGGCCTCTGACAACGAGACTGATTTTAATCAGGAACAATATCCTGCAGCTGAAGACAGATACAAACAGTTGGAAGACCGTCTGAATGCCATGGAAATTCAACAAGTGCCTGGGTTGGATTTCAGAGACTTGGGTTTATCTTCTGGTGTGATCATCCCTCACAAGTTTAAAGCACCATCTTTCGCAAAGTATGACGGGGCGTCCTGCCCTAAGTTGCATCTCAGATCTTATGTGCCGAAGATTCAGCCGTATACAGTGGACAAGAACTTGTGGATCCACTTCTTCCAGGAGAGTCTTTCAGGGACTCATCTCGAATGGTTCTATCAGCTGGATGGAACCAAGGTTCGTAACTGGGAGGAGTTGGCTACTGCTTTTTACAAGCAGTATCAATATAATGCCGACCTCGCTCCTACACGTACCCAACTCCAGGGTATGTCGCTAGAATTGGGAGAAGGTTTTAAAGAGTATGCGCAGAAGTGGGGGGACCTGGCTGGTAGGGTGCAGCCTCCGTTAACAGACCGTGAGCTAGTGGATATGTTCTTGGGGACCCTCTCCGGGCCGTTCTTCAATCATCTTATTGGCAATTCATCTACAGGGTTCACAGACCTCATTCTGACTGGGGAAAGGATAGAGGCTGGTATGAAGTCCGGGAAAATTCAGAAAGGTGCGTCCTCAAGTGCTGAGAAGAAACCTTTTAAGAAGGAGGCCAGTGTTGTGTATGGGCCTAGGAGGCAAGACAAACCAGAGCACCGCCAAACTGTCAACGCGGTGGTGATTGCTAAGCCTGCTGCCGCTCCTCGGCAACCTAACCAACAAAGGGCTGAGAGACCCAGAGGAGAATTCACTCGGCTGAGTATGACCTTGTCACAAATCTTGCCGCAACTGTTATCAACCAACTTGGTGACCGTCAGAGAGGCTCCGAAGGTTGTGAACACTGCATCTCCTAAATATAATCCAAATGCCCGTTGTGCTTATCA